AAGGTTACTGAACTGCAAACACTCCTCAGCCCTGGCCACCGTGACCAATAATGAGGTATGTTGGGAGCCACAACCAAACAATACGCGGGAAGACCACCATCATGCCCTCCATTTCACTAATAGGAAGATCACATTAACCTGGCAATAAGGTAGCTATAGAATAATCTGTCTCTCTCTTTTTTTTTACAAGTGTACAGTGGTGCCTCGCACAGGATTAACCCTCGCTGTGTGAAAACATCGCTGAGCGGGGCAGAAAAGCCCATTGGAACGCATTAAACAGTGTTTAATGCGTTCCAATCGGCTGCTGTACTCACCGTTCAGCGATGTTCCTCTATGGCCGGCAGCCATGTTCGCACCCTCCCCTCGCTTAACTAGGGCGCGAAAACGCTGCGCACGGCCATTTTGCGGCTTCCGGCGGCCATTTTGTAGCTGCCGAACAGCTGATCGGCGGGTCGCAAAGCGAAGGTTGGTAAGCGAACCGCTTACCGACCTTCGCTCTGCAATTTTTTCCCTACTGAGGCACCGTTTTGCAATCGCATTTGCGATCGGAAAACCGGCCTCGCAGAGTGAATTCATCGCTCTACGAGGCGCCCGTTGTGCGAGGCACCACTGTATCTATTAACCTGCGGGTAGTTTGGGGGTACTTTTTAATTACTGCATATGTTTTATGTCTGAAAGCGTACTGTTGGTTTGGCGGGTTGATGAGTTATCGTTGCTTGGTTTGTTGTAAACCGCTTAGAGCAGGGTGTTACCATGAAATCAGGGTTATATAAATGCACCAAATAAATAAATAGTTGAGAAAACCGGAAGAGGTGAATGGAAAAGTGAGAGTCTATAATCCACCATCAAGAACTTACACAGCCCTTGGGTGATAGCCTCCTTCTTCACTCTGTGGACTGGGTTTCTCCTCATCCAGGGGAAGCTCTGCATCTCCCCAGGCATCTGGAGGTTTGGGCCTTGCGCTTGGAGGCTGCTCAGACAGAGCAGAGCTTGGTGTAGCTGCCCTGGGTGGGGTGGCCGCAGGGGTAGCCAAAGGTGTGGCCACTGGGCTCACAACGGCTGCCTGAGATCCTCCTACACAATTTCCCCCCACAAGATACAAGAGAAACAGACGTGAAATGAAGGCTACGTTGCGGCATTTAAGACTCGGAATTATTTGTTTTCCTACAAGGCAAAATAGCGGTCCGGCAGTGCAGTGGGGTCCAAACTAAATTCAGCAGCACGAGTGGGCAAATAAATACCAAGCTACTGCTTTCCGTCCGCATTGCTACTTGCTAACGAGATCCTGTCTACTCTGTGCCCACCACAAAAATCATCTCTGCCCAACAAAATAGGCACCTCGGACTCGAACCTGCCGGTGGTGGTTTGCAGGAAGAAAAATGAGAGGTTACTTACCTGTAGCCACAGTTCTTCGAGTGGTCCTCTGTGAATCCACAAAAATGGGTTTTACTGCGCCTGCACAGGACTTCTCGGAATATTCTAGAGCTTAAAAAGACGTGATTAGTAGGACATTGCCCCGTGGGGCGCATGCTCTGCCTGTCCGTAAAAAAGGGCGGGAAGGAAGGGGGGGAGACATAAAGAAGAGATAACTCACAGGGAAACGTCCATAAAGAAAAAAACTTGATTAAGTCCGTGAAATCAAAAACCTTAGGCAGTCTGAAAGATCAGAAAAACTGTAAAATCAGGAATCAGAAAATCACAAAATCGCTCTAGGAAACGCTACAGGAGTCCGATTTCAGCGGCGGCTAAAAGGAACTGAGGTATTACGGACAGGCGGCGCATGCGCGCCATGGTGCAACGTCCTACTAATCACGTCTTTTTAAGCTCCAGAATATTCTAAGGAGTCCCGCGCAGGTGCAGTGAAACCCATTTGTGTGCATTCACAGAGGCCACGAAGAAGAACCTA